TGCGATCACAGCCCTCAATCGTTTTCATGCCGCTGGCCCGGATTCCCACCCACCTACACTACTTAAGGATGGAAGTGAAGTCCTCTGCAGGGCACTGACCTCCCTATTCGAACGTATCTGGAACGAAGAGAGTGTGCCGGCTAATTGGAGTGAATCGATTATATTGGCAATTGAAGGGCAGTTGAACAGACTGTGCGAACTACAGGGGTATTAGCCTAACGCCAGTCGTGACAAAATTGCTGGCCTCGATTCTCGTTCGTCGCCTCACTGTGGAACGGGAACCTCGCATTAGGGAAGAGCAGGCGTGGCTGTATAGACCATATATTTACTTTGGGTCAGGTGCTAGAGCAGCGCCATGCATACCGCAGACCGACAATAGCTGTGTTCTTCGAAAAATGGGAAGCATCATATATGCTCCATACTCGAACATTACAGGCCGCGTCAGGGTCTACGGTGTCCTATCGGATAGCTTTCCGACCCCAAGTGACGTTCGTCAGGGTGGTTTGATTTCCCCATTTTTGTTCAATTTCGTCGTGGATTATATCATGGAGTGTTTCCTTACGGAATCTCACGATGTAGGCGTTGAAGTGCTGCCTGGTGAAAGGTTAGTTGACCTAGATTATGCGGACGATATCGTATTGCTTTTCGACGATTTTGCGGCGGCACAATCAACCCTGAATAGCCTGTCCAGAGTGGTTTCATTACTTGGTATGCGCTTTGCCCCTTCAAAGTGCAAAGTGTTGCTGCAGGGCAACCAGCTACTTGATGACCCCTTGACGCTTGCTAACGAGGAGCTCGAGGTGGTTGATCAATTCACTTACCTTGGCAGCTGCATCAGCAATGATGGGCGCATAGAAACTGACATCAGCTCACGCATTGCAGAAGCCAGAGCTGCCTTCTTGAACCCGGCATCTTTGGTGACAGAAGGGAGTTTCCCTCCGTCTGAAACGCCGTGTATACAAGGCCACAGTGAGGGCCGTTCTGCTCTATGGTAGTGAGACTTGGCCCCTTCGGTCTGAAGATCTGAGGCGCCTTCAAGTCTTTGATCATCGTTGTCTCTGTAAGCATTGCTGTTGTCGGATGGCACCAGCGTTTCCGCAACGATAATGTGCGTTGGCGAGTACTAGGTGGTGATACTCATGCTGGCTCCCTAGAACAACAGATAGGACTGAATAAGTTGCGTTGGCTCGGGCACGTGCTACATATGCCTGGTCACCGCTTACCTAGGAGGGCCTTGTTTATTCTGCCAGTTGTAGGGTGGCGCAAGGCTCGAGGTGGACAGAAGTTAATTTGGCAGCGGGAACTGAAGTCACTGACGACCAAACTGGGTGCCGTTGGTCCGTCTCGCCTTCCGGGCTGGAGTCCACGTGACTCGCCTTCTGGTTGGCTCGAGACGTTGCAAAACATGGCTCGCAGTAGACACCAGTGGCGCGTGTGCTGCCGTCTTGTAATCGGATTGCTTGTTTAAAGTTTATATGATAAAATTTATTTACTTCACACTGTCGTCTATCATGACTATTTTAATGCTCTAATCCACCTGTTGAATAAGGGATGCCGTCAATTCTTTTTCCGGTACCTAAGGGGCACGGTTTTAACGTGGGTGCGATTCTGCTGATGCTCGAGATTGGTACGGCGACATTTTGGCAATTCACCTAATGGCACTTATGAGAACCTATATAAACTCAGATTCTAGTAGGTGCGGTTAGTTTCCGAAATCTCAGATTCTGTCACGTAACTCAATTAGCTGTAAGTTGACGGACAACTGCCTTTCTGCGTCCACTACATGTGTGGCATACTTGGTACTTTTTATGACCTGATGAGAAGCGCAGCACGTGGTCCCCTTGGTCGGCTACTGAAAGACTGTCATTCATCTGCTGGTCGTGCCTTCGTGGATGCCCTACGTACTAAGTTTTTAATCAGCCTTTCTGCAGATAGCTTCATTTGAATAGGGTTTTTGTTCTCATGGTCGGTTCAGGTGCTTTTGGCTGTTGCCTTGACTATCGTCACCGCACCAGCCACCGATTATCTTAGAGATCGGTGATCTTGTGGTAGTCTGGAAACCGAATACCTGCTAGTGCCAAGCATAATGCGACCATCTGGGTTATCAGGTGCAAACTAAGTTTAAGACCACGATCAGCTATTGAATTCTTGTGGTTCGAGTGACCTGTGGGACAATCAGTACAGTACCGGCTTTCATCCTTATTAATGGATGCTGTCTAACCCGCTGGATGAAGCATTGACAGGAACAGTTCATTTGACCTCCCACCAGACAGCATAGGTTGAACCGGTGTCACTTAGTACGTGAGCCGCATCCGAATTCACAGTGCAAAGCGTGGTCATATCCACAAATCGATCGCGCCTTGCTATTCAAAATTTTCTCGTACCCACTCTATTTAGGGATAACAATGAGATCCGCAGAGCATTGGTCTGCTATTTCGAACAGAGTTGTAGAGAAGTGATGACTCAAGCCAGTTGGTGTGAATCGATCATTTTGGTAGTTCCCGTGTATGCAGACCGCAACATTTGTGCTAATTACCGAAATATTCATCTGCTACCGGCAATGACAAAGTTACGGACCCGTTATTGTACACCACTTCACTGGGTAACGAAAATCCAGAACAAGGGGAGTAGAGCCAGTCAGGATCAGAACGGAGTCTTACAAAACATAGTTTCACTCTTCAACCTCTTCGGAAACGCAGTTGCAAATGCCACAAACAGATTACAGTCGTGATGGTCGATGTTACGGGCTTGTTTAACTCCCTCCGTTCTGTTTGATGCACATGTTCGGAAGTATATTGCTTTTTTAATCCTATTACTGGCCGTGCGCTCGAGCAGACCAGGACACTCCCATGAATAACGAATCATCCGATGCGTAGGATCTTCGTTGTTGTTCACTTCCAACATCGCGAGCGCTCCATTTCAAACTCTATCTTAGTGATCAGAATGACACGTCCACTTCGAAACGAATCGTGGTCCTAAGTGACATTGTGTGTCGCACTTCAACACACGACGGATGCCCGAAATGCAACGTCGAATTATGGATGGCTTTCGGACGTGGAATGGCGCTCGCAGGCCTCTCGGTTTTTCCGTTTTTGTTGCTTTTTATCGCAGGCTCCTTCTAGGACGTTTTCTTGTGTAGTCTCACGATGCAACTAGCGAAGTGCTGCTCCAGGGAAACGCGGTGCCATCTTAACTTCACAGAAGGCTTCATCTTACTGTTTGGCGATCGCGATATGGCGCAATCCATCTTTGACAAGCTAAAGAATTGCCCTACCTTTCCGATTATTGCTAACTAGTAGATATAGTTGGTCAACCTATATTTTATGGTAATGGCACTGGCTGCTAGCGAAGTGATTGTTGAAATCAGCTCAGGAGTTGTGACTGCCTCTATGCATTCACAACAACGTGACACCAAGAGAGGGCATTACTGATGACGGCCATGTAGTGGATCTTTAAGTAAAAGTAAATCGCCAGCTGTACACCGTAACGGCGTTTCGCTGCCACGCGACCACCACTAGTCGCGCCTGGGCTGAGTATACCGCGAGGACGCTCGCCCCTACGCGGATTCGAACCGGTGACCTTATGGTTGCAAACCAGACGCGCATACCCCTCGGCCACCGGCCAACTAGTGGATCTTTATAAGTACCGGATTTTTTTATGGCGGAAACTTGTTTTTCCCTGTTTGATGGTCCAAAACCTGCTGAAGTGCTTGCTCCGGATTTTATAAAACGTAGACCACACTATCATCATGTCCTAGCCATCGTGTAGCAATACAGTTCAATTAGATGACATTAGGGGAGTATGGGAAAACGACAAGGACAAGATGAAATATTCTTATCTACTCACTAGTGAGGAATTTTGGGTGTACTTAATATGAGACTTCATCACAGCAGCTTCCAACTCAGATAGTTCTTCACATGCGCGGAAAAGTCCGAGACCACAATTTCGACCCCCTGGATCTCGTCAGTGGTGCACGACCATCGGCTACATCAGGACCCGAACCCGTGACCACTAACGGCTGGAACCACCAGTCGCCGATGCGATAAACTGTTAATTTATTATATCAAAAATCCCCTACTCATGAGCACATCAAAGTATTCACTCGAACAGTAGCTCTGTCGTATCTTTCTGAGCCAACCCTGTCCCGTGCAAAGTTGGTAACTTACCTGGCAGTGGATGATAAGATGCGCTATATCTAAGTTAACCTGTACATCATGACGGTCCTCCGCTTTCCGCCATGACCCAATGGCACAAGCTACTGATCGGATGTGCAAGCCGCTAGTAGTCATGGGTTCGGATCCTGATAGAGCCGATGGATGTGCATTACTGACCGAGCCTAACTGTTGGAACTTGCAGTCTAGTGCTTTTCCTGGCATGTGGAGGACTATTTATTTTGGAAATAACTGCTTTGCAATCTCACTTCGAATGTTATTACGCGTTGCTTTATCTTTTGCACTGACGGGGATTGGGGGCACAATGAAACGTCATTGAGATCGGCTCCTGGGGCAGAAAGTGTATCCAACCGAACGTGTTCATCGTCGTTCGGATTCCAACCATGAAATCGAGGCTGCACTTGAGGCCAACTTCGATGTTAGGAATGATGATGATCGGCCCGCCTCTTCTCTTCTTCCACCCAGACGCGCCGGTCGAGTAAACAGCGCAGTTGGCGTGCGTAACGCATGTTCGGCTATCGGAGTCTAGTGCTTGAAATAATGGTCCTGTGCGGTTCACTTCCTCTTCCTGTGCCCATAACAAGACACCGTGAACCCTGTTTGCTCACACGATGTTCCCATCAGATGTGACACCAGTGGTCACGTAACTGGGAGCCAAAGCAGGAGGAGCTAATACCACTGCTGACTAAAATATGTAGAAATGAGCTATTTCCTCCCCTCACTCAAACAGGAGGTTTGTTTCAGCCTTCCAATAGTCTACCTTTTACTCAAACTCAAATCTATAAGGCACTAGCGAGCGGATCTTGCTCAGTCGGTTTTGCCTCGACAATGCTTTCACTCCTTACCTTACCCCTTGCTTTTTGTTTACCGGCCGGCCAATACCCATTTGTATTTTGTATTTGTATTTTATAATGTTGCCTTCACACATGAGCTTTCATTGATTTACTTATTTTAAGTCATTTCTTACTTCTTTCAGGTCGCTACTTCCCGCGGCCACGTTCATATTTTGGCCCTTGATCCAGTTCTCTGGTCTATATCACTTCCGCATCGTACTCAAATCATATACCCACCTGATGCCAGTCTTATTGTCGGCGGCTTGGATTTGGTGCCGGGTTGTCGCGTTTTTGAAGCAGGCACCGGAAGCGGATCTTTGACACATTTTCTTGCACAGGCTGTTCACCCAACAGGTGTCATTCATACATTTGAGTTCCACGCTGGCCGTGTTGAGCGGGCTCGAGAAGAATTCAGGGTGAGTTTGTTCGATACCTCCGTAATGGTTGGCAATTCGGATAACACTTCATTGGAATATTTTTCCGTTATGTTACAATGTATCGTTGCCTTCGCACTCTTGGTCAAGTGTCCTCGCTTCACCCCGTTGCCGATTTCAGTGAATGCAGCACTTGGTGCCCTGGGTTTAGTCATACTCACATCTATGTATATGTCCGGGAGCAAGTAAGACTTGCCTCGTAAGTCCACTATTTTAGCGATTAATCGCTTATTAACGATTATCGCATCGATTTCGTACGCCGTGAAATGTTCTAAGATCTACACGTGACTACAAACCACTTAACATCTCGGCCAAAGCTATGGGGAACCGCTAACCTTGGTAGTTGACCTTCCAGTTCCAGAAGTCGAAGTTCAGTAAGGAACTTATAAGTACAGCCAAGGTTCGCGGTAGTTGTACAGTTTTTGTTGGTGGCGGTTAATACGTTATTTTGTCAAGCTCATTGTTGTTCTACTTTTTCCTTTGGTTGGGCTAGAAGTTTTGTGGAGCAGTAAAGTGCCAATTTCGGAAGCGCGTCTAGTGAGAAGATTGTGATAAATGGCGACGGAGAAAATTGGAAGTGATGAATTCTTCTGCTGAACAATTTCAAAAGCTGCTTTTCCAACAGCATTCACAAATAGAAGCACAAATGAAAATGATCGCAAATCTGACCCAATGCTTGAGTTTGCAGACGACAGGAGCAGCTACGCGGGACATGCAGGCGAGTTCTGTTGATCTTCTCACGAATGCAATCACTGAATTCAATTATGACGCGGATTCTGGATGCACATTCGAAGCGTGCTTCAAGCGCTGGGTAGACATGTTCCGGACGAACTTCATTCGTCAGGATAACTTTCGGAAAGTGCGAATGCTACTCAAGCTCGGAATAAGTGAACATTCAAAGTTCATGGACCACATTCTGCCCAACCAGCCGAAAGATCTGACGTTTGATGAGGTAGTGTCGCAGCTGAAGGAAATTTTTGGTGAGTCAGTATCATTGTTTAGTATTCACTATCAATGTCTGAAAATTGTCAAACAGGAATCGGACGACTTTGGGGTCCTAGCAGCCATGATTAACTGTAAGTGTGAGCGTTTCAAACTACGCTCCTTAACGGACGATCAGTTTAAGTGTCTCATTTTCGTCAGCGTTCTACAATCCCTCAGTGATGCTGAGCTCCGCACACGGTTTTTGGCTAAGCTGGATCAGGATCCTGATCTGACACTGAAGGCCCTCATAAGGGAATGCAAACGGATGCTCACACTAAAACACGACACTGCCTTGGTCGAACAGAATGGTTTCGCACCACCAGATACCGTGCACTTCGTGAAAAAGGCCAGGACTGCTAACCCAAACAAACCCTTCAAGTGGTTTACGAACAAACCGCCCACACCATGCTGGTCATGCGGCGAATGGCATTTCGCGCGCTTTTATCCGCTCAGACATATTTGTCAAACGTGCCATAAGCGTGGGTATAAGGAGGAATTCTGCAGTCAGGTCCGGCTGAAGAACGTGAAGAAGTCTTATCTAAAGGGGAATTTTACGAAGGATGGCACAGAGTCTCTGTCCATAGTTGCCGCGTTCCAAAGTGTGTGTAAACCGAGACGACGATTTATCAGCGTGTTGATCAATGGGATCCCAACGAAACTGCAATTTGACACGGCCTCAGACATCACGATTATTTTCAGGAGCACATAGAATCACATATAGAGGCCAAAGATGGTCGAGTCTCAGAAAGTTGCACATAATGCATCTGGCGGTGTGTTAAACTTAGTGGGCGAACTTACTTGCAAGGTTGCTTTCAAAGGTGTGGAACATTCGGGAACGTGCTACATTTTATACCGGCCGAATTTGTATCTTCTTGGTCTCGGCTGGATTGAAAAGTTGCAACTCTTCGATGTTCCCTTGAATCAGATGTACAACCGAGTTCGAGCAAGTCCAGACCCATCATCAAAGTCCGTCGAAGATATGACACGTTCGCTGAAGCGAAAATTTGCCTCCATCTTTCAGGATGGCTTGGGCCATTGTACGAAATTCAAGACAACGCTGAGCTTGCGACCAGGTGCTAAACCAGTGTTCAAGGTTAAAAGACCGGTACCATATGCAGCCATGTCAACCGTTGATCTAGAACTCGATCGACTGGAACGAGCCGGAGTCATCACAGCCGTCAACTACTCATCATGGGCCGCACCTATTGTCTCAGTGAAGAAGGCAAATGGCAAGGTACGCGTCTGCGATGACTTCTCAACTGGCCTTAACACCTCGCTGGACGACCACCAGTACGCATTACCCGTGCCGGAAAATACCTTTGCAAAACTGAATGGTGGTAAGTGCTTTGCTAAGTTTGATCTGTCCGCTGCCTACCTTCAAGTGGATCTTGACGAAGTCTGGTAGGAGTTGTTGACGATCAACACTCGTCGTGGGCTATTCCAATACAACCGCTTGCCCTTTGGTGTAGAGACGACGCCAGCCATTTTCCAACAGTTGATGGATACCGTGCTAGCGGGCGTTTCTGGAGCCGCTGTCTATCTGGATGATATCATAGTGATGGGTCGAACACCGGAAGTGATATTTAGCCGCCTGGATGAAGTGTTTGATTGTATACAGCCATGCGGTTTCCGGATCCGTGAGAATAGTGCACCTTTTTCACACCGCTCATCAAATACCTCGGTTTTATCCTTGAGAAGGATTAACGTCAACCAGATCCGGAAAACGTAGTAGCCATTCGAAAAATCCCTCCACCAACCGACCTACAATCCTTGGGTTTCTTTTATGAGCTCATCAGCCACTATAACGCATTTTTGCCTGAGATGCACCGCCTGCGTGCCCCGCTAAACATGCTATTAGCCAAAGGCCAAACTTGGAACTGGACATCAGAATGCCAGAATGCCTTCGAAGGGCTCAAGACATTGCTGTCCTCAAACTTACTTCTGACTCATTTTGATCCCTCCAAAGAGATTGTTTTTATCACAGATTCATCAAGCCATGGGATTGGTGCAGTAATTTCACACACGTACACCGATGGATCACTGAAAGCAATTACCCATGCCACCATAACACTTACGACGGTCGAAAGGAATTACAGCCAGATCGAGAAAGAAGCATTGGCCATAGTGTTCGCGGTCAAGAAATTGCACAAAATGCTGTACGGCCACCGCTTCAAGCTTCTGACAGATCACAAACCCTTGCTGGCTATCTTTGCTTCGAAAAAGGGCATCCCGGCCTACACAGCCAACCGGCTACAACGTTGGGCTCTTACCTTAATGGGGTATGATTTCGAGATCCACTACCAGTCGACAATTTCCATTGGCCAAGCGGATGCACTGTCATGCCTAGTTGATGCCCACCAGAAAGAACATAAGAACACAGTCATTGCTTCGGTCGACATCGAATCTGACGCCAACTATCTGGTAAGTGATGCATTGCACGGTCTACCAGTTATCGCAGAAGCTTTACAAACCGATTCTCTTCTGGACCCAGTACTCAAGTAAGTTACCCAGTTTCACAAAACAAGTTGGCCACCTTCATGTCCATCTGTCGAGTTGCAACAGTACTTCCAGAGGAGACACTCCCTCTCTATTGTGAACGACTGCATACTATTTTCGGAAAGAGTGGTCATCCCCAAAGCACTTCAGGAGCGCATTATTCTGCAGTTCCACGCCGGACATTCTGGGATCAACCGGATGAAAGCGCTTATCCGCAGTTATGTATACTGGCCCTTCATGAACAAACAGTTGGAAGAAATGGCTAAACGCTGTCAACAGCGTGCCCATGCCTTGAAAGCGCTACAAAAGTAGGGCTCGGTACATGGCCAAAAGCTACTAAACCATGGTGCCGCATCCATGTCGGCTTCGCAGGACTGATCAGCGGTCGAAGTTTCTTCATTATAGTCGACTCATACAGCAAGTGACCTGAAGTATTTCTCATGGATGGCATAACCACCAATGCCACTATATCAAAACTGCGCCAAACCTTCAGAAGATTCGGCTGTCCAGAGACAATCGTAACTGACAATGACACACAATTCAGTTCGGCAACTTTTACGGAGTTCTACAAGCAATGCACCGTTTAGCACATTCGCTCGCTGCCATTTCACCTACAGTCGAATGACCAGACAGACAGGTTTGTCAACAGTTTCAGGCGAGCTCTCCACAAATCAAATGGGGACGTATAGAGGAGGTGGTTGACCGGTTTCTTTTCCTCTACCGATCAACACCGAATCTACAAGCGCTGGACGGAGTTTCTCTAGCACAAGCCATGGTGAACCGAAAGCTCCGCATGCCTTTCGACGCCATCCGACCGCGCTCGGAATCCTCTGTTGGTGAAAGAAACCGCAGAATTTAACAGGATTTTAACCGGCGGCATGGAGCAAAGAAACGATTGTTTACACTTGAACAGAAAGTGCTACTACGCGATTATCGGGAAGGTTACGCAAATTGGACGCTAGCGACGGTCCAAAACAAGCGCAGGAATGTCATGTATGACGTCATCGTGGGCGCACAAATCTGAGCCAGGCATACAAATCAGTTACGGCCAACATTGTTCCAACCAGAACAACCAAGGCCTACCGACCTTCCGTTCTACTTATTTGTGGAAAGCTTCAACTTTCCGAAGGATGCCGTGGACGACTGCTCACAGTCGAACAAGTAATCCAGACCACGCACATCGGAATCCAGTTCTCGGGCACTTCTGCCAGGGAGATGGACCGACAGGCAGAGAACACCGTGACGAAGGCTGCAAATTAATCCCAGGCTTTCATCACATACTTCAAACGATATCTCAGGAGGGGTGTCCGGGAGAAAGTAAGACTTGCCTGGAAAGTCCGCTATTTTAGCGCTTAATCGCTTATTAATGATTATCGCATCGATTTCGTACGCTCTGGAATCTTCTAACTTTTGCACGTGACTACAAACCACCTAACATCTCGGCCAAGGCTATGTTGAACCGCCGACCTTAGTAGTTGACCTTCCAATTCCAGAAGTCGAAG